AACCTGCCATTTTCTGCGAGCACTGAATGAAGGAGGGAGGGCTTTACAAGGCAGTGGAAGGGCCTCTGCTTCCACCTCTTTTGCAGTGTAGAACAAAGCTCCCAGACAAGGAGGAGAGAATCAATTTGGATCCTGTGACTCTGGGCCAAGAGAGACTTTTAATCATCTTAGAAGAACCCAACCCTGAGTAATTCCTTGACGTCACACACTGAGTCCGTCCATCTTCAGAGGAACCAGTTTGGGCTGGGGCCATCACACTGTGCTCATTCCTTGGCAGGCGAAGACTGCTCTAAAAATACCCTTGGGCCTCTAGATTTGTATGAGTGGATCCCGGCCTCTCTACTGCTCTGAGGTTTGGGGTGGGCAGGCCCTTAACAGCTGGCCTGTGATGGAGAAGTCAGAGTAGCTGAGCCAGAGTGCCCTGTGGAGTTGAGGGTCATTTGAGAGCACGGGGAAGGTTCTGCATCTCCCACCCTGAGGTCATCCTTTACTGATTAGGAGCAAGGAAAGACACAGTGATTTCCATCTCTAGTGTAGATTTTGGCAGGGTGGGGACAGCCCCAATAAGCAAGATCCTTAGAAAACCACAGGGCGTTGAGCACTGGTGGGTGTGCAGGATGGGCTGAAAATAAGTGATTATAAATTTTTAAAAGGGGCAGTGAGATTTACAATTTCCTTCTAAATTCTTTGCAGCCAAGTGACTATCCCTTCTGAGTCCAAAAAATAATCTGGAGAATTTCTCTTCAAAAGGTTGAAGCAATTGAGAGAGCCTCTGAGTTATGCCTGGTGACCCTCTCTGGATTGAGGGGCACAGCGCATAACTCCGAGTAATAAAAGTCTCTATAATGAATGTTAAAGGAAAACCTTCCCAGGCTCCTTTTTCTCTTTTCTCATCAGGCAGGCAGATGCTCTGTCCCCAGCCCAGAATTCTATTTTCTAAAAATTCTATTTCCCGAAGAACGATCCATCCTATCATGGTGAGTGTACTCCACTAAGATCAAGAATACCAGAGAAATGAGATCCAGGCAAAGGGGTAAATGAATGATAGGCACAAAGACTAGTAAGGACATGAAAAGAGGAAATGAATAACTAAAAATAAAGCACACATACAAGGAGATTCAATAAAAATACACCCTGTGATCATACTACAGTAAACCCTAATACCCCGTGTAGGTACTGTCACAAATATATATATTTGAGGGAGTGGGAAGTATGTCAATACAAGGACTCTTGATAAGAACAACATGATAACATGAGCAGGACCCATGGGTGATCCAATGGAACGACTCAATTGCTAACTGAAAGGCTCTACTCCACCCAGAGGCACTTGGGAAGAAAGGCCTGGTAATCTACTTCCGGACAACCAGTCCTGGAGGAAGCCTTTGGAGCACAGTTACCCTGACACAAGGGGGCTACTGTGAGGAGGAGTCAGCGCATCAGCAACCATTTTTAAACATTAAATTTAAAAACTGTTGTTGTTTCCTGCTGAACTTTGAGTGCTGGCACCTGATAAGGCCTCAAATAATATTCCTTTTCCCCAAGGCATATTTATTTAAAAACATTTCGAAGAAAACAGAGCGAGTTGAGAATAGGGCAAACTCGGTTCACAGGCTGTTGGACCCAGGATCTGTTTCTCTCTAAAAGTGAAAGATGACCGCTGTCAAATGTGAGAAAGAATGATATAAAAATATTTAAACTGAGCATGCAATATTTGAGTTGGTTTTAAAGTTAAGGGCCCTCCTGGGCAATTACTCTCTGTAAATCCCTCGGGCGGTTGGGTGGATTGGAGATGCCTTAAAGCTCTGAAGGATTCCAGGGAAATCAGAATGCAGTTTTCTCTGTAAGGCCGATTAGCTTATTGAGTTTTCCCTGGCACGTACTAATAAAATGCCAGGAAAGAGTGGGGACACCCCCACCCCACCCCACCCCCGCTTTGCTTTTCAAGCCAGGGTCCACCCGAAGAGACACCCTCAGCATTTTCTCTCACACGAAATTCCAGAAAGTTTTCCCCAGGACATGGATTCCTTTCACTAAGCAAAAATAGGTGCTTTTTTGGCTCAACAAGCTGCTCTCCCATCTAATGGAACTAAATTGGGTATGCAGTGTAATTCAACTTGGCTGCAGATTGACTGCTGACTAGGATTCACATTCTCTTATGATAATGAATCCCTGAGATGGCTCCTTCGTCCATCCACTTGCTGCTCTCCTCCCTGGCATTTGTTGTGCACCGACTATGTGCCAGGCACTCTACGGAGGCACGCATCGGGGAGGAAGACGATGCACAACGATGCTAGGTGCCTAGCCAGTTCCCTTGGGACATCTAAGAGCGTAACACGCTCGGAGCTTATTTGTTTTGTCAGGACCCATCACATTTGTTAGGATTCCCAGCACCCACACGTTGCACAACAGAAAGAAACGCTGCTGTGTCCTGGGACAGCCTCACAATCCTGGTTAGAGTTGAGCCCGTGGCTGCAGGCAGGAGGGGGCTCATCTCACTAAGGGTCTTCCTCTTTTGCTCTGATCGTCTACTCTGGCAGGGCTCTGAGATCACCAGAAGAGGCCGTTGTGTCTCAAAGACCTTCCTCCACAGCTCCTCTCTAACAACCCCTTCCCTCCGCGCTGCTTCCCTCCGTCAGGACCAGGGAGAGCCCACCGCCATTCTGGCCGGCCTCGGAGCGACCCTGCACAGGCTTCCAGAGACTGTAAATCTTTAGGGGAGCAAGCAGACAGCCTCATCTTTCTCCTGCCCAGAGACCCACGTGTTTGAAGTGCCTGCCTTGCGGTTAGCAAGCAGCCCAAACGGACTCCTCCACCAGGGCTCCCTCCAAAATCTTGACCCAAATGGCCCTCCAGGAAAGGCCACCTCTCTGTCACGGTTGGCACCCAAAGGCCAGTCCCATGATCAGCCGCAGAAGCCTTCCCATGCCACCGACTATCCCTTCAACAGCGGTGGTTTCTGGGAGCGTTTCAGAGGCTCTAGGAATCTTTGGAATCGATTCGACAACCGTTATTTTATTATTGTCGTTGCTTTCTAAAAGCGTCCCCTTGTCCTTCATCACATCTTGCTGCCCTCCAGCGAGGGGGAGACAGGGTTATTTCACAGGGCGTCGCATTCGAGGCGCGGGCTGGCGGGTGGGGGCTGGGGGGGTGCGTTGTAAGCTCAGGACAGCGGCTACAGTCCGTGGGGCTGAGCTACCTGGAATGCTACCTGGAGTTCTGGTGGTCAGGGTGCCTGCAGCCATCCCACCCTCTGGACCCCCTGGTCCATGCGGGTGGTGGTGGGGTGTTGGTCGAGAGCGATAGTTCCCAGGGCCCTTTCACAGGCAGCACAAAACGAGAGGACCAGTCAACCATTCTCTGAGTGAGTTTCTGCCTGGAAGAAGCAGTGGGTACCAGCCTCCAGGGTCCCCAGGGGTCCCGGTCTCCGGGGGCGCAGCAGTGGAGCCCACCAGGGATGCGCGGTCTCAGCGATCCCTCCCCGCCTGGTCCTGCAGGGCTCATACAGAGAACGTGGTTTTCCTTAGGAAAAAAGGGGAGAAACGGTTGTTGAGCGTGTGTGTGTGTGTGTGTGTGTGTGTGTTGGGACCTGAGTGTATGCATCCCTCCCTTGTGAAACGTGTCTGTCTCCGGGCGCAGAAGTCCCCGGGGGTGGCTTGGGATCTGGCAGCCCCGGTCTGGGTCCGTGCGGTTTCGTGCAGTTTCGTCTCTCATCGGTGGCCGGGAGTCAGGGCGTGTGCGCCGGAGCGGGTGCTGGCTCCCCCGGGCTCCGGCCTCCCTCCCGGTGGAGCCCAGCGGGATGCACCCAGGCCGCACGCCCTGGATCCCCGCGCTCAGCTCCCGGCGCTCCAGGAAAGTGCAGGGGGAGAGGTCGGAGAGAGGGCGGGCAGCTGGGGTCAAGTGCGTCGAGAAGCACCGTGGGCACACAGGCTGGAGTTTCGGGGCAGCTGTGGAAACCAAGTTGGGTCCTGCGGTGGAGTCTGGGGGGATGGATTCACCCTCTCCCTCATTCTCCAAGCCCTCCCCACCCGCCACCCCCAGGCATTTGCCAGGCTGGACAGAGAACATCCGACTCCGAGGCCCAAGTGCCTTGGGCACCCTCGCTGCCAAGTCAGCTCTGATTCAGACTCTTTATTCAAGTTCCTCTTGGTGACTGATGTTGGCTGGCACCTCTT